CCGTCCAGGGCACCGAAGGTTTGGAGGAACTGTCCGGGACCTCACTGGTGTTTTTCTTGCAAAAGGTTCCATGAGACTCAATCTGTTCTGTCAGCACAGTCGGCACTCCAACCAGTCGACTCCGTCGCGAAGCGATTCCCTGGTGCAAGTTCCAGGCCCATCACGTGCCCATACGGTATCCATTGGAGGGGTGGCCGAAAAAACGTCCACTCACTTGGAGGGAAACCCTCTTAGGATTGGATCATGACTGGAGCATCAGGTGATTTCCGGAGTGAAGCACCCCCGGACCGTCCACCTGGATCATGTGGATTATGACAACCAAATCAAGCAGTTCATGAGTCCAAACAGAAGTTCTCCTTCACCCACCGCCTCGAAAAGCCGCCGGGGGGAAAACCACCCAAGGACCGCCCTTCTTCGCCCTGGACGCTTGACCGCACGCCCTTGACGCACGCCCCATTCGGCGTTCCAAAGCGCCGGTGCCGATCGCCTGCACAGCTCTGGCTTGGCAGGACCACCCTTACATCGAAGGGCTTGAGCACGTTCACAATCACGTAGTCCTCGGAAGGCAGGCGCGGAAGGCGGGAGCGGAGTCCGGGCTTCGGTGGCGTTCGTTGATCCGCCGGAACCGCAGCCGAAGAGGTTGAAAGGGCATTGCGGTGGAAGGGCCGCCAACGCACCGGAGGGGGGGTTGACATGGCCTACCGGGCGTTCCTTGAACAGCTCTGAATGTTGCCCTGGACTGGGTTTCTTCCTTCCTGTCTTCCTTCCTTTCTTCCTTCCTGCCTTGACTACCCACCAGGACAAACCAAAAAATGATCCATTAAAGTCTATAGAGCTGAAATAAACGGCATTCTCCCACTCAAAGGGATCTGGGAGCTGGCATTGCAGTTGTCACGCTGCTGGCGGATGTCTTGTTCGCCGTGAGCGAAAGAAACGCAGATGCTTGTCAACCCAATCCTCCGAACGAAAGGGCTCGCCCTCAACCAAGTGGAGGTGTTTTTGAGTCGGCCATCTCGGCTCATCCCTGTGGGGGGAGGTTGAAAACACCGCAGCCACCATAGCGACCCACCCGTCCAGGCGCAACTCCAACGTTCGGACGGATCACCTGGTCCGGGCAGTAGTGGACCTTGTATTCCGCCTTGAGTGCACCAAGAAGGCAACCATTGTAGTTCTCCACGGTAATAATGTTCTCGTTGCTGTGGAACCTCCATTCCGGCCCGTCACCGACGTGTCACACGGTGCGGAAGAACCACGACCGGCCGCCGAAGCAAGAAGGCCGACCGAGGCCGAGTCGAAGACGCGAGGACTCAAAGGCCGAAGCAGCCACCCCACCGGCGTTTTCGACCAAGCACCGTGCTGCCATACCCCAGAAAATCAGCTGCACTCACCCCAAGTCATGAAGAAAGACACTGCCCTGGAACTCCTCTCCCCTGATTACATTCTGCGGAGCGGTCTGGAGTGGACCCCGGAAAATCCCAAGCCCTAGGATTCCTGGTGCACCATTCATTGGATCCCGAACAAGCATTGTTTTACTGAGGATTTTGATTACACTACAAAGCCCAGGTCGTTCCAATTTGTCTAATAGTCTCTTGGAAGTCGAACGGGCCAAAAGGGATGCCCTCCCAGCCATCCAGCTGCTCATTCAGCTGCAGCTCTCCTGTGTCAGGTCGGATATATAATCCATCCGGGCAGCTCTGCGCCGTGGCATTCGCCTGTGATGGCAGCGCCATCCGCGTGCATGTTCACCACGCCCGAGCTTCCGTCGAAGTTGGTGACCTGAACCGCTGAAAAAGGACGTCGAATGGGATGAAAAGACGCGGCGGTGGCTTTTTCACGTTCAGTAAAAGCATGTAAAAACGGAGCATTTCCACCATCACTACGGAAGTCCGTCACTACGGAAGTCCATCATTTCCAAGCGCCTGTGCAGCACTGCAAAAAACTGATTGGAGACGGTGTCCATCCGATTCGAGTCGAAAAGCACTCCGAAACATCAACTATGGATGTGGCTCATGAGAGACCTGCTGGTGGTTGAGAGGATCTTCCTTGGGCAAGAGAGCATCGTATGCTAGTTTTGAACCCACATGCATCGGGTGTGAGATAGGGAGACTTCCAGTTCGAATTGTGATGAGTGATGAGAGATCGACCCAAACCCACTCGTTGAAGGATGTCCCCTTCCCCCAAAAAAGACAAGAGATCCTCCGGCTTTGGATCATTCTGATTCCTCCCAGAGCCTGGATTCCTCCCTCACGTGAATAGGTCTCCCACACCCACACCCGCGAGGAGGTGTCCTCGGCACCCGTCGGTCTCAACAACGGCATGGCCGTGCTCCACGGCGGAAGGCCTCGAGGGCGTAAGATTGTCCCAGAATGTTCCCACCGTAGCAGGAAGGCCCCTCCGAGGACAAGCTGCCAGTACCTCGGCCGTCCGACGCGCACAAGAGCTGAGCGGGCAGGGGTGGCACTGACTATAGGAGTCCTCCAACCAACCACCAATTGAATAGCCCTACATCCCGAAGAACCACAGGTTTGACGAAGGACTTGTACAACCAGGTCCACCTTTATTAAGAAACGAACGGATAGGCTTCGTTCATGGGAAGGTCCAGGCCGACTCACCCGGGACTCCCAGGGTCAACGATCCTGCCTGTCCGACGTTGGACGGTAGCCCCGCCGGAAACGCCTTCTATTCATGGTGGAGATTCTTCTGCGTGGCTACGCATTGGAAGAGATTCTTCACACATAGAAAGAAAGACGCACATGACATCTACTGCTGGCACTCAAAGCACGTCAGCACGTCTGGCTTTCCCAGAAGGATGAGAAGAGTCGGTGTGCCTGTCATGTTCGTGCACAAAGAAAAACCAGGTCAAGAACTCTATCTCAGAATGTTCTGGCAACCCATGTTCTGGCGCAATCGCTGGGGTTTGGGGTGTTTCGGGTGTCCGTTTCTGGAAAAAAAACGGCGGTCCGCGATGCGGTCGACGGTGATGGAGGATGTATGGGACCACGTCTTAAGAGGAAAACCGAACCGCAAACGAACCGCGATGGAGAGATACACCAACCTCTGTGGAAAACTTGAGGGTCTGACCTACCAGGACCTACCATCAACCACTGTGGCAGAGCCATCGTCCGTCAATGCATGGCTTTTTCACAGAGCCATCTCCCCGAGAACGAGAAAGAAACACCTCTCAGTCATGGCAAAAGCTTTGAATCTCTGCGTGGTCTAAATCAGCTAAGAGCTGTTGAATCTCGTTTCCTGTTCATCCCCTCTGAGGAAGGAAGGGATGAATTCTTCCACACAGGTCATGACCGGTCATCCGCGACGTGAAACGTCGGACTGGGCGGATGGGGAAACGGGCGGAAGGTCTTCCAAGCGGATTGGGGTTGGGTCACAGGGCCCACCGGTGTTTGTTTGATATTTTCGACTCCACCCTGACTGAGCCCAAGTGAATTCATCGCCCTGGCACCAGTGCAGGCCACATCGGTGCTGTGCAAGTTATCGCCCTTGTCGCCTGCACCTGAGCGTAGGTAAAAGGAACATCTCATGGATATAGACTCTTAGATGAATAGAACCTCTGCAAATGAGGGGTTATGTATAATCAAGAGTCTACATTACTTGGTGGTGGGCATCTGCCCCCATCCAACGGCGGATTGTGGGACAGAGGGGGCAGCTAGGCTACCGAAGAATTCCTGGTGAAATGACTTCATCAATGGATAACATCTCCAGTCTCCGGCTTCCCACAAGGGCTTGCTCCCTCCCAATCCCAATCTGCCCTATGAAAATCACCCCGATTCCGCCCAATCTTCGGATCTGATCGAACGAACGAAAACCTATCTACTTGCTTCTCAGCCTCAAGCTGCTTGCTTCTCTTGAAGGTTTGAAAGGTTGAGCCTTCTTCAACTTGGCCAAACTTCTTGTTGGTCAACCCCCGCCCTGCTCGGGTAGGGAGCTCAGTCCATCATCAAAAAACCACGTCCGTCCCTGGGCACCACCGTGGCGGAGAACACGGCCGGCCTCGAAGGGAGGGCGTCTCCTCGGCGAACACGGAGAAGACGGAGAAGAGGAGGCAAAGCACACGAGCCATGGTACCAACCTCAGTCACGCCGGAAGCCGGGTGTCTCGGTGTGTGCTGGAGCAATGAGGGCTGCTGGGTGCGGGTGAATGCCTTTTGTGGAGGGTGGGGCTGGGACCCAGGGTAGGGTGGGAGGACATACTGTACAGGTAAACAGGCAACTGCCGTACCTGTTGTTAAGGTTTTCTCTATGCCAGAGTTATCAGGAATAGGATGGATATACTTTCTATTGAGAACTCAAACGAGGCAAAGGAGCCGGCCGACCATGGGTAGTATATGGTAGTATGGAACGTCGAACATGTCAAAAACAGCAAGTGAGGTGGCTAAGTTCGGCTGGTCGTCTCCTGCGAAGAATGACCAAGTTCTCAATCGTCGTCGGTTTCGGCCATTCCATCGGTTTCGCTTAATCGTCGTCGGTGGCGTTTTGGGCCATGTTTCTCGAAGAAGGGATCATTTGGGTGAATGAACATCCACAGCAGAAGTTATTATGGTCTTCACCCGGCTCTCGGCGGGCGTTTCTTCCGGCTCCCACCGCGGCTGAAGTTCTCCAAGGAGCTGAAGGAGCGAAGGGCAGAAGAAGCGGCGAGCGGAACGGAGCCCGGAGCTGGGAGGACGGCTGAAGCCCAAAGCCGAGATCCAGCAGGGGCCCAGTCACACACACCAAGCAATGTGTTCTTTCAATGTTCCTGTTCCTTTTTTTTTACTCCACACCTTATGATCATGGTGGCCGAGATAGAGAGCGTTGCTTTTGGCCCTTTTGGCAATTCCAAAACCAATTGTCCTAGTCTCGAACAGGAACAGTCCCAAGGCCCAAGACTCTCAACTTGGCCGACCATCCCAACGGGGCCCACAAAGCACTTCTCCGGTTCTCCACGCCCCACGGCCCCCCCCCATGGATGGCCAACACTGGAAAACGGTGCGAATCGAAAGGAATCCGCTACGGCAACCAAGTCCAACCTGGAACCCCATACCCAACCAGAAACACATGGATGTTGCCAAATATGGCAGTTGAGATCCTTTCCATAGCAAATGGTTGTTGGTGGAAACATGATCAAACCATGACCTTTCGTGACTGGCCATGTCAAAGCTGCTATGCTCAGGCTCTGCTCCAAGATATTCCAACCTTCTTATGTCTATATAGATTAGAAAACAAAAAACGCCATAAAACACTGAGCACATGTTTTCTAGTCTTCAGTATAAAACAAAGAGAAAAAAAAGCGAAAACATGTGTGCCAGGTCTTCCGGCCACACTCTCCGTCCCTCTTCTTCCCCCGGCGCCCTTTTGGTCCGCTACACGTCGCGCAGGGCTGACCCGCCGCCACGGTCACCACGCAGCTCCTCGCCCTCCATGGAGGGTAGGGCACTGTGCGGGCTCAGCCCATAGCGGAAGGTGAGGCCTCGGGAGCAGTCGGTGCAGGTGTGGGGCCTCACCGAGGGCTCGAGAACCCCTATATATCCCGATATCGGGAGTGGGTCGGAATCTCGGCGGAAGTGAGGCACTGGAAATTTGGGCTCAAAAGGAGAGCTGGAATGATTCCAGATTTGTGGCACAAGGCCGACTTGGAATTCTGGTACGCACACTGGCAAAGCACTTCTGTGTCTGGTGCCAAAACCACATAACAGTCTGGCATGCTATAATTATATAATACCTGGACAACCAAAGGGTAAACCCTTCTGGAAATCCGCACACTATCCACCAAATAGCATTGTTCGAGTGTCCTGGTTCCTTGCCACTTCTCTGTCAGTTCTTTGTCGCGCGTCCTGGTTGAAGAAATCACCTGTCACCTTCACCAAATCCTGCCAGGACCTTCACCAACTCAGCTGTTCTTCACCAACTCAGCTAGCTTCCCTCCCCTCACCCATCGCGCCAAAAACGTGCGCCTTTCCGCCAGGTGACTGAGTCGGTCGGAGGGCGCCGTTTGCACTTCGTGCTCCACGAAGTAGCGCGCCTCGTCGGCGAGGGCGTAGAAGTCTCCGGCGTTGACCTGTTGAACAAACGAGGAGAAGTACGTACGTTCGTGGCCCGTGGCCCACCTGATGTTGCAAGTTCCAAAACGTCTGCAAAAGTGCTTGACTTAGGGTTGCAACATGTTTCCATCTACTACCCAATTCGCAAGCACTCTTTCAGTAGAGGAAAGGTACGAGTTCATCCCAGCCTGTCTGGGTGGAATATTTTTTTCTCATTGAGAGGATGCGATTTACCGATTTACCTCGCCCCGGTCCAGCTATCCCCGCAGCAGCACTGGGTGGATCACAGCCAATAGGGAGGTAGACGGTCGAGTTCGTCGTCCATCCAACCCTCCCCACCAGGTGGTTTGTTATGTATTATCATGTTGTATTGTTGATTTGATTAATTTGTTCTTCATATGATTTGTTCTTTTTTGATCCTGTCGAAAACTCTAAGACTGACACCATTGGATTCTTCGCTGCTCAAATCAAATCGAACTCGTTACACGTCTCAGGCTGGCGCTGGCAGGTGCATTGGGCGAGAACTAAAGCATTGATTCAATCAGGCCACCCATTGCTTGAGGGCGCCAGACAAAAAACCTGATCTATTTCCAACCAATCTACCTCCCCTTCCGCTCCTCCCACACCGTGTGGACCCGAACCTCCGCACCCCGTCGCGCCTCGAAGCTCTGGTGCCCCACGCGCACCACGCCGCTGCCCTGCAGCACCACTGTCGCGATGCGGTCGCCGCCGAAGGGCAGCGCGTCGCGGTGGGCGCTCACCGAGGCGCCGGGCTCCAGCTGCTGCGCCTGCACCTGAGGTGTGGTGGCTGGTGGCTGGTGCAGAATGGGGGAGAGGGGGCTGAGTCGGGGAGTCTGCAAGTGAGAGGTGTGCAGATCCGGTGGATTTGGTTTCGGACACCTGCAAGTTCTGAACATGAAAACCTCCAAAACATGGTGTCTGATGGTTTCTGAGTTTCGATTTCTTCTACTTTGCTGTTGCCGCTTGCTTTCCTGCAAAACAGAAGAATCACCCTGGTGATTCTTAGATGTCAGGCCACGAAGAGGCACCGGCCCCAGCCAAGTCGATCGGTCGCCACCTGGGGGAGGTGATGGGCCGGTGATGGGAAGCACAGGCCAATCTGAAACTCGAGGTTTGAACAAACAAAACTTAAATGATCTGCTCAATCAAGACAACCATGTTAAAAGACCACAAAAGACATGTCTCGAGTGAGCTTCGTAGTATAGGAATAGCATAGTGAAAATTGCTGCCTTTTGCTTGAAAAGAAAGAAAGGTTTCAACCATTTCAAGATTTGGACGCATTGGGGGGGGTATTTCTTGACCATCAAGCGGTCTCGAGACCAAAAGGGAGAACGAGGTTCCGTTCCCTTCGCGCCGAAGAACGGAACCCGAGCTTCATCATCGTGTCTGAGGATTCACCTGGCTATGCATAATAGAGTCGCCTGAAATGGTTTGGTCTATAAGATTCACCTGGCTACGTACAAAGGTTGAAGCTCCACAGAAAGTAAACACCTTGCCTTCAAAAGGGCTGCTGGTGTACGCCAAAAACCTGTGGCGACTGCTTTGTCCACTGCTTTTTCGGAACACTGTGTGAGATCTCCAGTCTCCAGTGGTCCAGCCTCCTTGTGAGGCCCAGCCTCTTGTGGTCCAGGCATACCAACAAAAATGTGCAAAACAAATGGACAACATGTGACAAGTGACTAGTATTCCTGATTCCATCAACTCATTGTGGTGCAGGAACAAGTGTTCTCCTTGTGGTGCGTTTCAGGTGAGGGATCTCAACATTCACCCTGGGACATCCACAGTAAAACGTATCATTCCACGGGCCCACGCGGGGCCCCCACTCCCTACCAACCCTCCAACTCCACCTGTTGCAAGCAATAGAGCTCCTCCGCGCCCGCCAGCCCTTCGTCCCGCATCTGCTGGAGCCTGGGCCACGCCTGCGGCGGTCGCCTCCCGAAGACGTCCAGCGTTCCCAGCTGCAGCTGTGCGGCCTCGGAGGCCTCCAGCGGCGGGTCCGCGTGCAAGGGGAGCATCCGGCGGCCCAGTTCATAGCCGTGCCTGGTGAAAAAACATTCAAACCAAATCCAGAGCAGGTTTTGACGTCGGATGGTGGCATCCACACTCCTCTTTGTCACAGAACGATCAGAACGAGGCCAATGCCACAGGGTCGGGGTTGGATTGATGAACTTGATCTTTCGGATTTGGAGAGGTTGAATCTGCAAGAGTCTAAGTCTTCTTCTAAACTGACTGAGGGTGACTTTTCCCAACTGCACTTCTGTTCTCTGAGCCACCAGAGATCTTCGTGCTGCTTCTCAAGCAAAGCCTTGATGCGAAGGGCAGCCTCCTGATCGATACACTCCCTGATGAGCCACACTGAGCACAGCTCATCGCTTGAAACCACCTCACACGGTGGAAGCACACAGCTCAGGTCTAAATGGCTTGAAACAAAGATATCTCTTGAGGAGAAGGCAATAAAATACCATAAGCATGACAGGTGTGATTCCATGACCTCCTTCAAACAACGCTCAAACAGCAGCCCCCGGCTGTTAAGAGGCTGCGCAGGTCAAACCAACTCGTTCACCGATCACCAACTTGCAAGTACCTGGTCCCCAGCCAATTCTGGATGTCTACAACATGTAGAAGTATACTCAAACATTCCAAACAACTGGGCACAACGACCACACGCTTATCACGCGTGTCACCAGCTTGTCACCCATACACCGCACACCGAAACCCCGCCGCCTGCCCGCGAGAAGCCGCTGGTACCCAGGCCACGTGCGCGCGGTGCAGCTCGTGGACGCTGGGCGCGCGGCGGAAGAAGGCGTAGTAGGCGCTGTTCCGCACGTAGCGCAGCCACGCGGCGGACGCGGAAACCAAGCCGGGTGGGGACATGGGGGGCGCCCCCTCGAGTTTCGGAAGGTTTGAGAGGGATTGTCTGGCATGAAAATGGGGTGCGTGAGGTGATTTTGGGCATCTCACCCCAAAAACTGGGTGTGATGTCTGGGGAAGGGGACGCGGAGGTCTCCCCATCTTTCTTGCGGTCTTTGTTGGGATGGTCGATCTGGGTTTGTCTCTTTCGCTGGGTCCAGCGGCGCCGCTCTGTCGATCGTTGGGGAGGAGGTGCGGATCGGAAGGGTCTGGCACTTTGGGTCTCCACTTCGGTTGCAGATTCGTTTTCGGAGACTGGAACTTCCAACAGATGGTTTTTGGATACCCCTTAACCTCTAAGAGTCCAAGAGGCTAGTTATAGACACCTCTTGGAAGGTCCTAGTAGGTGTTCTCCAGATTCACTTGTTCTTTTTTGCTTTAGGGTGGAATTATCCTCAAGTCTGCCCAAACAAGGACCCGAGGACCTGGTTGAGGATCAAGCTGCAAGTGAACTTCATAAGGCTAAGGTGCTGGTGTCAAGGCTAAGGTTGCTTGAGAAATAGGCAAGGACAAGAGGTGAATGCATCAGCAAAAAGAAAGTTGTCTTTTGTGCTCCTGGCATGGACAGTCCAAAATCCATGGCATGGAGTGGTGTACAACAGCTGCAAACATCAAGTGAAGGTGAATGAATGGGTCGATTGTCTTCTCATGTTCGCATGGATCCTCTGTTCTGATCTGAACAGCTGCAGTTCTCCGGTCGCTGCTCCAGTTCTTTTCAGCAGACCAGTTCTTTTCGATACGGCCGCGGCTTCGGGTTTGCGTCCCGATTTCAACGGACCTTTGCTTTGGGCTCTCCGCGGTAAAGTGTCGACCGCTATGGCGACGGCCTAATGTCAATGAAAACATCTGGTTTTACCGTACGAAACATCGAGAAAATGTATCTCCCTCGAGTCCCCTGCAACCATTTTGGCAGATGCGTCCCTGGTCTGGTTCTTCCCTAGTCACTTGGATTTGCTTGAGGAACCGAGAAATAAGCAAAATATTCCCCGAATGATGGACACGACTCGTCAATGGGCCAATAGGAAAAATTAACATCGCCCTATAGGCCCCAACCAAAACCAGGATCCATGATCAACAAAAGGGGTTTAGCTCCTGGCCAACAGGATCACCCACCGTAGGAGTCACACGCACCCCCCTCTCCAGCGAACTGCGCGCACCTGAGGGGGCGCGAGCCGCGGCGTTTCCTGGGAGACCGGGCCACGGCAACTCAGTCCGGTGTATCAGGTGTCACTCATGACAGCCACGCCCGAGTCGACGCCCGGGGTGGGTGGGTCGAAGAAGCCGACTGCTTCGACTCATGTCAGTTGGGTACCCCAGTATGGTCTTATTTACGGTCACAAAAAAACTCTCTTGGTGACTCTAGACTAAAGAGAAACGAAGCTCCGAACCACCCAGGGCCAATGAAACCCCAGATGGCGTCCAGCTCCACACCGCCCAAGCGCTGGCCTGACCATGATCGCCCGACCCTTTACCCCTCTGCTGCCCAGCGTCGCATGGCCACACTGAAGCTACTGTCGATGGGCCCGTCGTGGGGCACATTCCACTCGGAGGCCGGCGGCGTGGCCGCCGTGCGCGACGGGTGATAGGCCCACACCTGGCCCGCAGCGCTTGGGCCGCGGCGCTCGCGCCACAAACAAAGGCGCGGAAGAGACCTCATGGGCAACAGATCTGTATTAAATGGTATACTGGCAGTGCAAGCCCGCAAGCAGTGTCTCGCATACTTACTTTGTGTCCTTGTTATTGTACATGTCGTACCTCATCTCCTATTCTCCGGGCCCACGAATGCAGTTGTCGCCCGCACTGAAGGTGCTGAGGGGCGTAACACCGTCGCGAAGCGGCCCGAAGACCCCACCGAACCGCCACGCCCTTCGCGCCGTGCCTGGTCCCCTCCCACGTTGGGCCCAAACCACCAGCCACAGAGCTCGGGCCCTCGGGGGCGAGGGGGGGCGTTGGACCTCTTTCGGATGGTTCGTGGGATGGTTGTCTCACAGCCAACCAAAGCGTCTGTTGCGACTCGTACCCGCTGAGCACCCGAGCCATCCCGGTCATCCCAATAGTAGATGAGCACATCAAGCCCTGAGAAGAGCAAACGCGGCGCCAAACGCGGCAGCAGGCGACCCAATGCCAGCCCCTCCGTGAATCTGTTTAAAGCATCAAAGAAATGTAGCTTGTAGCTGTATACAGATAGATAATTACATAGAAAGAAGATGGTCTTGTACCCTCTCTTACTTGAGGAGCGCTTGAGGGCCACCTCCGATTGTGGGTAAGGGATCAAAAAAAA